AAAAAAAAAAAAAAAAAAAAAAAAAAAAAAAAAACAGAGGGAAGGAGTAGAACAAAATAAAACAAAAATCATCTCGCTTCAAATTACGAAAGCATTACCAAGAAAAAAAAAAAGGAAATAATGCCCAAATGAGACTGCGACCATCAACTGCCGCAACAATAAAAAGAAAAGATAATTTTATAAATCACAGAAGGAAACAATAAAATTGAAAAACAGTTTCGGTCTCAATTTCACCACGTTTAAACCTTCTTCTTTTTATACCAGATATATTCCCTTATTAAGGTAATTTTTTTTTTCGTTTTTTTTTAGTTTGTGGTATTCCCCAACAGAATATTTCTTTTCCCTATCCTTACATATATACAAAGGTATATATTATATTATATTATATATAATTTTTTTTTTCTTCTTAAGGGTAGAGAGAGAAAGAGAGAAAGAAAAACCAAGATAAATAAAAACCACATGGCAGGATTTCTCTTTTATCCTTTTTATCCTTTACTCTCTTTTTTTTTTTTTTTCTTGCTTTTAATTCCCTTATATACCTGCTTTAAAATCGCATGCTTTCGTTTCTGGTATTATTCGCTCCTTCCATCGGTCAAATTTTATATTTTCGCTTCAGAGAAGCCTTCGAAAATATAAAATTTACCTTTCCCAAGGTGTTTCGTCCCTTCTATATTTCCTTATTTTTTTCTTTTTTTTTATGATCTCCATCCTTCATTAATGAGAATAGGGGAAAATGCACAAACACACACACAGGCAAGAATAGAAATTAAAATATATTAATATATTCAATCTACGTAGCGTTTTATGCGTTTTTTGTATGCATCTCATTCATACCAGGATTACTCACATCAATTGACTTAATTACATTCTGAAGAAGTCTGTTCTTCAAGCCACTTTTCTACAATATTCATTCTAGACCAACCTGGAAGTTCCATGGGAGTGCAACCGTGTGAAGGTGTTGCGGATGCCCTTTCAACTACGTAGTTACTTCCCCATTCACTATCTTCTGAATCCTCATTCGCCGTTGGTGGTGGGGCTCGTACAGAGAGTGAAAGTTGAAGTAAACTGAGTTGATCACACTTAAAAAAACTGAGTTTATTTGGTGCACTTCGTGGTAACTCATCACGGTCAGCCACAGGAATATATGTATTTGAGGTGTTGGTATTCCCAAGCGATGAACACCTGCTTTCAATGGAGATGCGTCGACAAACTTCTTCCCGGGCACTTGGCAGTGGTGTCTGTTTGCGGAATCCCGCGGGAACAGGATCACTGCGAATATGTGGGGAACTTACATTAAATGACCCAATATCTTCTCCCTTGTTGGACGGTGCCAACGCTGATCGAATATAAGAGATCAGAGAAGATTGTTTCTTCGTATGAACCTCAGGAGTCATAGTGAGAGTAATATACGGATCTTCTGTACTTGTTTCTTTAGCTGCTTGGCCTCTTGATGAGTTCCTAGCTTCCGTTTAAATATGTTTATGTACTCGTAAACCGAAAGCGAGATGGTACGTTTTCACGTACAATATATATATTTATATATATATACTTATATATATTTATATATATTAACTATCTATAATAATAATAATAATAATAATAATAATAATAATAATAATAATAATAATAAATAAGCGTTAGATGCAAGAAAGTAAGAAAATTGGGGAGAAAAAATATAACAAAAATAGAAATATGAATTAAACATCTATAAAGGAAACAAAAATGTTCACTTCCTTACTTTAAGGTTCCTACTTACAAAGAGGAACACAAACAACATCAAAAAAAAAAAAAAAAACATAATAAGATACTTGTGCCACTCTTTCTATTTTCTTTTTTTCTTTCAGATAGAAACACACCAACACAGAAAAAAAAAAAAAAACAAGATCGAATTAAGAATAAAGTAGGTTTATTCTTGGTTCGTTGTATTCTCTATCATTGTATATGTGCGCATGTATCTGTGTATGTATCTATGTATGTATATGTGTGTACCAAACTGATAATAATAACACACACAGAGAGAGACACAGATACAGAAAGAGATACACACACATACACACACAGACTATAAAATATGTATGTATATATCTTTACTTTCAATAATCTTCATCCTCTAGCATTATGGCGAGAAACTCATCAAGGTTAATTTCTCCGTCTTGGTCTGTGTCGAACTCATCAATCATTGCCTGCAGTTCATCGTCACTCATGTTCTCGCCAAGTTCCCGTGCTACCCGGCGGAGTGAGCGGAGTGAGATCTTTCCTGTATTGTTCTCATCAAACAACTGAAAGGCTTTAATCATCTCCTGCCGGGGATCCCGCTGCGCAAACCGCTCCGTCATCAAATCCGTAAATCCGGCTAAATCCATCAGCGGTTGGTTGTGCTGATCACGCGCGGCGCAGTCCTGCATCATGCGCAGCACCTCATCCTTCTTCGCATCAAAGCCCAATGCCCGCATGCTTACTTTCATCTCATGCACGTCAATCAAACCGTTCTTGTCGGAGTCGAAGAGTTCAAACGCCTCGCGGATCTCCTGCCGCTGTTCGTCATTCAACTCAAAGCGGCGCTTGCGCGGCAGTGCGGCGGGAACAGCCGTTCGGACAGGCGCCGTCAGACGGCCTCCAGCAGTACGTGAGGTTGACATATGGATAAAGAATTTCCCGCAGTAATGTTGTACTTAAATATATATATATATATATAAAAGAAAAATAATAATAATAATAATAATAATAATAATAATAATAATAATAATAATAATAATAATAATAATAATTACGTGTGTTTATTACTCTTTATTATTATTATTATTTAAAAAGGAAATATGAAAAGAGAACGACGAAAAGAAAAAAAAAAATGTGATCGGGTAAACGATTTCACAGTGCCAATGAGTATTGAGAAATGTTCTCAGATTCTCTGTGAACTGCTATTTAATTTTCCTTATAATGATATCCCTTTCGCAGCCTTCTTTTTCTTTCTCTTATTTCGCTATGTCTTGAACTTCTGTTCACCTAGTCTTCTCTTTATTTTTTTTTTTTTCGTTATTTCTCTACCAGAGACTAAACTCAAAGCAAAGAAGAAGAAAAATAATAAGAAAACAAATAGAGATGTACAGCAAGTGATGAAATCTTTTATTCTACCAGCATTTATCATGTATAAAAAAGGAAACAAACACACACACACACAACAATGTCTAAAAATGACTCTTTATAATTCCTTTGGAAATAAGGGAAATAAAAAATAAATAAATAAATAAATAAATAACAGGGGTAACCAATAACATAAGAATAGCAATAAAAAAAATAAAAATAAAAAATAGCAACGATAGATACATTCCACTATGTGTCTCACTTTCCATCTCAACAGAGGAATAGTATGAACCAATTAAATCAATACCAACGTCCAATACGTCTTTCAGCAACTGTAAAGGGTTCAACTGTAATAGTATAGCGAGCCGTATTATCAGTATCATCTGCCACATCACTTAAAGTTGCATTGCGAAGATTCGCTTTAAAAAATAATGTTACTAAAAAATCAAAATAAGAATCTTCATCTTTTAGAGTAAGCACCTGTTTTGTCTGTTGCAAATCCATATAATCATAGACTTTAAGTTGACCATTATATGGATCAAGACCTAAATATTTACAGAGATCAAATAAGGTTACTCCTGCACTAAATGGTGTAACCAATTGTTCTTCTTCAGGAGTATCTTTTCGCACTATAACTAGACGACGCATTTGTCGAAGTAAAAGAAAGAATTTATTACGTTGTGGTTCATCCATTCCAGCAAATTCTAATACACGTCCAGAAAAATGATCTCTATTAAATGGATCTAAGTATGCTGTCATCCAACATTCAGGATCCATAGCAATTAATGATGCATCATCTAATTGAAATTCCTTTACAAGAGAATCTCGAACTTTTGTAGGAGTTTCCACAAGATCTAACATTTCATCTAATAAATATGTTGAACCATATTTAATACGTATACGTGGAAGTGCATTAGGTGGTCTTGCATGAATAGTTTTCCACTTTTCATAGTATGCACGACTAAAAAGCAACAGTAAATGATGTTCCTCCGCCGTCAGGAGACCTGGATCTAGATAAGCGGGATCCATATTGTGCCAGAGCACCTGATCAGAGAGTGCGAAGTATGGACACTGTTCAATCTTTGCCCGCACCTGCGGGTCCTCCCAGTGATTTTGTTTGGGGCGAATGAGGCCGGATCCCTCCTGCGGCGGCGGCACGTAATTTTGGGTGTCCACGCGGCCGGCGTAGACGTTGCCGTAAAATGGAATTCCGCCGGTGGCGTGCGTGGCGGGGCTGCCGGGGAATGTGAACTTCCGCTCCCCCTCCATCACCAGAAGCCGACGGGTGAGTCGCCACATACTATATATTCTCTTCTTTTCTCTTCTCTTCTCTCACCTCAGGAATCTCAAGAAATACCTCCTTTTCAAGTGTAAATAAAGGAACAGGAATGATTATTTTTTTTTTTTTTTTTTTTTTTTTACTATCACTGGGATTATTATGTTGTGTAAAGAAAAAGAAAAATGGTAACGAAGAAGATCATTGTAGAGAAGAATGGAGAAAGTAAAAATAAAATAAAAGCAAAAGGAAAAAAAAAAAAACACATTAAAGCAACCCTTCACACCACCAACAACTGTCAATTTGTAATGAAATATCAAAAAACAACCAGTAAAAACAGAGTATCTTGTATACCATGTATGAACTTGTCTCGCTGTTTTATTCTGTTCTTTTGTTCTTTTCTCCGTTTTTTTTTTTTTTTCTTTTTTCCTTTTCTATCGTTCGCTGCAGTTATTCTTTGATTCTACATTACTGCAGTTTATATGGAAATCCACATAAACGTCGTTGTTTTCGCATTTTCGTTTTCATTTCCGTTTTGATGTTTCACTCTACCTCCCCTTCCCTTACAACCCCCTTCCCTTACAATCCCTTTTTTTTTTTTTTTCGTTCGTAATACGTCTATTCTTTTACGCCTTCAACCATCTTGATTTAAATACAAATTCTCAATCTCTTTTGATGATCATGTATATTTTTTGACTCTCACATTTTTTCTTCCATTATTCCTGTGTGTGTGCGTGTGTGTCTCTGTCTTAACGAAATGCCTCCGTTTCATACGCCTCTCTTAACCGTTGCAGTATTGTGTTCTGAGCACTATTCAGTTCCAGTCGTCCATTCGCTGCGAGAATCTTTTCCTTCGCAGTAGCAGCAATAGGAACAAACTTTCTCTCTCTCGTCTCTGTCCACTCTTCATAATCACGCATGGACTTTAAAAACTCTTCTTTACTCTCTTCATTATGGTACATTAGAATATCTCGCACAGGAAGAACACCTGGACTCGTTCCCAGCATTGCAATCGCCTTTGCTGAACACAAATCACCAACATGAAGGGATTGGTGTTGAATTTGCGAAAATCCAGCAGCTATAGCAGCTCTCCGCACAGCTTGTAGTGTAATCCCAACAAGGATATCTTTTTCGAGAGAACAGAATAGCTGATCATCTTGTGTGAGAAGAAGATAATTCGAACGAGAACCTTCTGGTACCAAGTAGTGTTCTCCAGCATCACTCACCAGCAACACTTCAAAGACATTTGTGCTTTCCTGAAGAGCTTTGGCACGTGCACGTAATGATTGTTGAACCATCTTTGCATTTGGTGTGTGTCGTTGGGCATTATACATTAGTGAGAGTTGTGTCCCTTCTTTATACCACGACTCCGGAGGGAAAAAAGACTTTACAAAATACAAAGCATATGTAAAGTTCTTTTGTAATGTATCACAATATTCTAATGAGAGTGATACTTCTGAGTGAGAAGGGAACCATGAGACAAATTTAAGATTTATATCTTCCTTTTCCATTGGGTAGTTTTTAATATACTCTCTAATCATTTGCTGCACTTCCTCAATAGGCCATGAAATGCACGTTGTATTATTCTTTCCTTGCACTGCTGCCGTACAACTTCCATTAATCCGCCGAATATGATCCTTCTCAAACATTACAGAACCTTTATGAACACGCATAACATCGTAAACAAGTTTATAATCTGTTGGATCTCCAGTTTTTTCCTCAGTTGTTGTTGTTATTGGTAATGCAGTAGCCGAACGAAGTTTATCGACGGAAATAATTTCGTGTGCTCCTTTTTGGCAAAACCAAATGTTTTTTTGTGATATATCAGAAAGAATCAAATTCCCTACGGATGTGGGAATATGAGGGACGACATCACCTAATGGAATCCGCATTATAATGATTGTGAATACAAACACACACACACACACACACACACACCAGGGCGTACCTTCAATATTGAGAAAAGCCGGTAGCAACAGCTGCGTAGAAAATGAAAAGTAGTGTAATACCAACAACAATAGCAGCAAGAACAATAACAAAGAAGAATAGCAAATTTATAAAACAAGAGAATAAAAATAATAATAAATATTATTATTGTTATTATAAATATTATTTATTATTATTTATTACTATTTATTACTATTATTATTATTATAACCATAATAATAATAAAAATAAAACGCACACAGATATAGATAAATAAATGGATCTACAATAATAACTGCAGCAAAAAAAAAAAGGAATAATAAAAAGTAGAGACAATAACATAACAATGTATGCAATTGCACATCACTTCCTTCACACATTTCCCCTTTTAATTACTCTTTTCTTTTCTATCCTTTTCAACACCTTCATTAGAAAGTGTAACATTTACCCCTGTCCATAGTGTCAACAGTCGTGTTGCCAACTTTTCCCCGAATACTTCCATACTGAAAAGATTCATCGCCCGCTCTCTTCCCGCCGCCCCCACACGAGCAGCCAACGCCTCATCAGTGATGTATGTTGTCAACGCCGCCGCAAAGGCCTCTGGTGTGGGATCGCAGAGAGTTCCGCCCTCACCAACACTCTCGCATGGACCACCTTGATTCACAGCAACTACAGGTTTAGCACACACCATGGCTTCCGTTGGGACTATTCCAAAATGTTCCATGGTTGGAGTATACACAAGGCAACAACATTGAGATAATAGTAAACTTTTAGTGGCTTCAGAAATATTTTGTAGAAATAGTACCTGATCATCTGTAAGTTTATGACGTAAAGCCAATTCTTTTAGTTCCTTTAAGTGTTCCACATTTTCTACTAAACGGGTATCATAACCACCTGCTATAATAAGAAGTGGTGGTTTCACCAAAGAATCAAGATTTTTAGAGATAACAAGTGCAAATGCCTCAATTGCCAATGAAAGATTCTTTTTTCTCTCATAACGATTAATACTGAGTATTACAGTACGTCCTTGTATACGATTCTGAAGTGAATCCGTTTCTTCCTTGCATGAATCAGATTCTTTAGTCGAAGGTTCTGTCTTATTTACCCATGAGACAGGAGGATAAAAAATATCTTTTTCAGGATCAATAACAGATTGAAGCTGAGGAAACGTTTTTATGGTAATATCTCTACTAAATTTAGAATTTGAAACAATACTATCTGCATGACTCATCGCACGTGCTTCTAATGAATCAAAGAAGCGTCTGTACATTGTATGTAATTTTGAAGGAGGTTTTTTAAAATTACCTTCTTCATCTCGATTAGAGTCACAACATTGATCTGGGAAATGGGAATAAAACAGTCTAGGAGAGTAAGGCGCAATGTAATGCAGTAATGGAAGAACAGCAGCTACTTGATCCACCACAAAGCAATCGGTATCTTTGTAGAAGAAACACGCCATAAAGGCCGCCCATAACATTCGTAAAGTCACACAAAATATTTTCGCCTTTCCAAAGATCGTACCTGGCAACCAATTTCCACACACTCGCACCGTTACCGTACCGTCTACGGTTTCCGCAAATGCCCGTTTGGCATCATGATGACAAGTAACAATCGTCACACGAATAGGCGTGATGTGTTGATGTTTCTGCATGGCGAGTGCGGCGTCAATAATGAGCCGCTCCGCCCCGCCGATGCCAAGATCGGGGTGCAATATCAACACCCGCAGTGGACGCCGGGCCCTCGCCTGCAGGGAGAAGTCCGTCGCGTCCCGCTCTTCACAGGCGCGGGAGTCCAGGCGCTGTTGGGCCGCCTCAAACATCTTCAGCCGCACAAGCATCACAAGACCAAAGATGGTGCTCGTAATGCCAAAGGCAAAAGCAACACACAAAAAGAAGGGAGACATGATAATCGCAATCGCTCTTTATTTTCGTTTTATTTTATTTTATTTTTTGGATGTCTTTATTTCTCTGAAAGAAAAACAAGCTAAGAAGAAGAAGAATAAGAGGAAAACCTTCCCCCTTCCAATCCAAAAAAAAAAAGAAAAAAAGAAAAAAAAGGGAAAAAAAAGAAAAAAAGAAAAGAGAGAAATAAAAATGAGAGTTCATTACGTTACCAAAATGAGCTCATTTACAGAAGTGTAATTTGTGAGTTATCACAAACGCCAAAAAAAAGAAAAAAAAAATACAAAGAAAAAAAAAACAAAGAAAAAAAACAGATTTACAAGCAGAAGAGAAAGAACTATTGTATAGTTATCTTTTCCTCTTCTCTACAATCTAGAAATAAGAAAGAAGATGTATGAATATTCTTTCTTGTTTCTAAAGTTCTTCTCATTCCTTTCTATTGGCAACATCAAAACAATAGCACATATGACTAAAGGGGAGGAGTAAGGACATGACACATTCCTTTTCTCAAATATTCTCTTGTTTCTTTTTTTTAATCTTTCCTCTACTTTTTTTTTCTTTTTTATCTCATCCATTTCTTTTTTTTTTTCCTTATTTTTTTTTTCTTTTTGGTCAAACGTTCTCTGTTATCATCTTATCTCTCTTTTTCTTTATATACTGGAACTCTTTTTTTTTTTCTCTTATACCTTTCCTGCTATCTGTGTTGATTCACTACTGGAAAGAGCGAAAGGTGTCTCATTAGACTATTTAAAGTGTATATACACACAAACACATCAATAGAGAGAAAAGCATAGAGAGATGGAGAGAGAGAGAGAGAGAAAAAAAAAAGAGAGAACGAGAGAAAAGAAAAGAACGAAAATAGTGATGTAATGGTAACAGCGGGAAACAACGAAAAAAAAAAAGAACAACAATAAAATAAAAAGGCAAGAAAATCCCACTGCCGTGTACCCCAACGTTCGTATTTTGGCGTCATGGGATAAAATAATATGCCTTTTTTATTTTTTTCTTTATTTTAACGTTCTGAAGATAACTCCCATTTGGACTGTTTTGTTTTCTTGTTGTTGCTTTATTTACTTTTTTTTCGTTATTTCTTTTTCTTTTTTTTTTTTCCGTCTCATAAACTCCGTTGAGTGGGTGCAAAAATGCACCATGGTACTGAGATAGTAATTAGGAAGAGGAACAGATGGAGTTATGAGTGTAAAGAAATGAAAAAAAGAAAAAAAAAACGAAAGAACAGAAAAAAAAAAAAAGGAAGGGTCTAGAGTTCTTCTCTAATTGTAGACACATAATTACTTTTTGTTTGTTTATTTATATCTCCTCCCTATAATCGCGCGCGTGTGTGTTTGTGTTTGTGTGTGTATGCGTATGTGCTTGTATCGGTGTCATTGATGACGAATAATGAAAATAACAGAAAATAATGGAGCTCAAAACAAACACACACAAATAAAACAATAATAACAATATATAGTAAAAAAAACAAAAAAAAAAAACATTGGAAACAATTTCTCCTCTAAATAGTACGTGGGTGAAATCACATATATATATATATTTTTTTTTCTTTTCTTTTTTGTTTCCCCCCGTTCCTTCTTTTTTTTTTCTATTCTTACTTCTACCATTTCCCACCTCTTCTTTTTTTTTTTTTATTTCTCTTTCTCCTCACTCACGCTCAGTCACTCGCTCTCTCTCTTTCTTTCTTTCTCCCTCACACAAACACACACACACTCCTCTATACATATATGTATATATGCATATGTATGTATGTGTGTGTGTGTTTATCTGAGTGTCTGTGCGCTGTGCGGTTACCAGAAGCCGGCGCCCCCGGCGCGGTAGCGGCCCGCCTGCCCGCGGAACGTGTCGCCGCTGTACGTCGCGAAGGCCCCGCCGCCGCCCCGCGTGAGGCGCTCGCGGTCCAACTTGAAGTCGTACTCGCGGCGGCGGGCGGGGTCGATGAGGGTCGTGTGCGCCTCGCCAATGACTTTGAAGCGCCGCTCCGCCTGCTCGCGCTCCTCCTCCGGCAGCGACATGCACTTGTCGGGGTGCCAGCGCAGCGAGAGCTCGCGGTAGCGCAGTTTGATCTCCCGCTCGTTGCAGTTGCGGCTCACGCCAAGGACGTAGTAGTAGTCCTTCTCCCGCTCCGCCTCCTTCGCCATGCTGTGCTCGCAGTTGCGCAGCTCACGCTCTAACTCGCGATCATTCGGATCGTACTGAATAGCACTCTTAAAATCACGAATGGCAGCAGCAAAGTTATTTAACTGCTGATGACAACGCGCTCGACGGGCATACGCCTTTGAAAACTCATGGTCTAGTTGAATGGCTTTTGTACAATCTTCAATTCCTTCACGATATCTACCCAACTCTTTATGAGCAGCAGCACGGTTACAATATAAAATACGTAAGATTTGATTATTGTTTTCGGCAGCGTTAATAGCAGATGTATAATGTTCAACAGCCAATGCAAATTTTTTCTGTTGAAAAAGCTGATTTCCTTTTTGTTTACCTTCATCCACCAAATTAATAAGTTTAAGTAATTTGGCACAACTTTCATCTAATTGTTGAGCATCAACAAGACATGCACGAGCTTTTTCAAAATGTTCAAATCCAGATAAATACAAGCAATTTGCCATCATATGTAATAACCTAGGAGTCCTTCTAGATAAAGATACCACATCTAGAATTTCTACCGCTTTCATATAACATTTTTGCTTTACCAAAGATTCCGCCAAACGCATACGAAAATAAATGGTATCACTGAATTGAGCCACAAGCATTAACCATATTTCATCTCCTTCAGGCGTTCCAAATGCTCGTTCTGCACGTTGAAGTAATTCAAATCCACTTTTATATCTTTTTTTCTCATTGTGAATAGCTTCAGTTACCAAATTTTCTGGAATAGCATCCATATGAGCAACAGAAGCAGCAAGATCACCAATAATTGCTGAAGCTTTCGCTGCTCGACTGTACATTTTCACATTGCCAGGTTCCAACGCTATAACCTTCATACAATCTGAAATACAATCGCTATAGCGTTGTGCCATAAAATAAGCAGAGGAACGATTTCCATATAAAGCACTGAGACGAGTAAGACGATCAAGAGGTTGTTGTTCAATTGCCTTTGAATATAATTCTAACGCTACAGTATATTCGGATTCTTCATATTTCATGTCTGCTTCTGTTTTTAATACTTTACTGCTATCACGACTTCGACTCTGAATTTTTCTCAAAACACTAGAATGTTGTTTTACCAAATCAATACGTTCAGCTGATTCATCTGCTTCAATCATTGACCGCTTATTAGACTCACTTTCTCCCAATTCTCTTAATTCTTGTTGAATAACATGATGTCGCACAGGAGTTTCCTTTGATACAGCCTTTACAACATCTGCTGCAGTAGTTTGCAAAGGAGTTTGTTTAACTGGATTAATACCTGTACGTTTTACTCGTACCATGCGCCGACCGGCAATAGAATCATCTACTGTACGATTCGGTCCATCCACTTCTGGTGATTTGTTTACATTACGTAGTTGAAGGTTTCTTTGAGCTTCATAAAGCTCTTCAAAAGCTTGTATCAGGCCGGTAGGTAATTCTATCATATGTTCACTTGAAACCCGCCTCGAAAGAGCACACCTTCTACAAGTCAACATGACATTTGGTACGATTTGAACAGGATCTATAACGACCTTATGACACAGCTCACAGAGAAAACATGTAGTCATGATTTTCTGGAGCCACTTGGCATTTGGTATATCTGGAATGGTAGTATCTTGTGATGGGGGTTGAACAATTCCTCCATCGTGTGAGTCATCGGCAAAGTGATGTGGTCTTAGTGGTGATCGCGGATATGATGTAAACGACGATGATGTGGATGACATTCCCGCTTGAATCAACTATTCTCTCCGTCCCACCTCAAATATATGTGTAGAGAACAGAGAGTCAAACCCAACAATGACGACGACAACAACAAACTAGAAGAAGAAAAAATCACCTCAAAGGTTTTTAGCAAAAACAAAAAAAAAAGCCTACCTCCGTTAAAAGCGATCAGGGAAGCTAAAAGGAAACGAATATAAAAAAGGAGAAAAAAAAAAAAGAAAGAGGAAAATGAAATTTAAAAAAGGTTACAAATCAATTAATAGTTTCAATATTAATACAAGCTTCTTGCGTTAACTTGCACTTTCCCTTTACTGTCCCTATTGTGTGGGAGATCAAAAAAAAAAAAATAATAATAATAACCAAAACAAATCAAAACAAAAAAAAAGAAAGAAACAGACAAAGCAAACCTCTTTTTTTCTTGAAGTAGAGTGTGTAAGAGAGAAAAAAAAAAGAGGTAGAGAGAGAGAGAGAGAGATCAATGGAAAGATTGATAGATTGAAAGAAAGAAAGAAAGAAAAAGAGAGAAAGAGAAAGAGAGAAATATCTTTCTCACAAGTAGAACCGCTTTCTTTTACAAAAAAAAAAAAAAATCCCTTTTTCAAACTCATCTCTTTCCTCCTCACTTATTTTCACCCCTCATTTCCTCTCTTTCTTTCTTTCTTTTTTCGATCATTCTGGATTTACCCCTTTCTCCTCCTCTTACATTTCATCCTCTTCCCTATAGCGGGCAGATTCCGTGCGAAGTCTTGGATCTGATTTCTTTCCCACACAATCTCTGCATTTGTATCCATGATTTCGCAGCACCATACCGGGTACATTAAACCGTCCACACACAACACACAACCGCGACAAGGTGCCTGGTGAACCCCGCGTCTCTGAAGAGTCGTAGGAATGAAAACTTCCTCCCATGGACACATTATCTCCAATAGACTTTGGAACCACAGGCACCAAGTACTCTACCGGAATGGACATGGATAACGGATACCGGTAACCCGCTGGTGAAAGATGTTTAGGACGAAACTGCATTAGAACAAGTTTTCTACCGGTATAACGCACCGCCACTCCATCTAACTTCCCATCGCAGACCTCCTCCATCGCCGAACACCAATAACTATCTGTGAGATGCTCACGGAGAGATGAACTTGGTGCCAGAATACGGTATGTTTCTCCAGGTGTCACAAAAGACTCTGTTTGAACAGAATCCTTATCATACCGAAAAGACATTTTTTCGGGAGGGAAGGGGGAATAGTAGCCACTCAATCAAAGAAAACAAATATGTGACAGGAATGAAAGTGAGCACCACTATTACTATTAGACGGTGTAATAAGCGTCTTCAGAAAAGAAAAAAAAAAAAAATAGATACCCACGCAAGACTAATATCCCGTACAATTCTTCAGAAAGCAGCAAAAAAAAAAAAAAAGAAAGAAAATAAGAAGTCATGAACATAAAGAAGAAACAAAGGATAGAAATAAAAAGGGTGCATAAACACACGCACACACACAGACACAGAGAGAGAGAAAGACAGAAAAAAAAAAAGAAATGGTGGGGGAGGGACAGAGAGAAATAGAGAGAAACATTGTTTTCCTTTTGGGGGAAAAGTAAATAATAAAGAAAAAAAAAAAAAAGACACACAAATACCGTTCATCTTTCATTTCAGGTCTGTCCTTTTTTTTTTCTCCTTCTTTACTTTTCCTTCCTCCCCATTAGAACTTTTTCTTGCTATTGTTGCCGTCCCTTTTTTCTTTTTCTTTTTTTTTTCTTTTCTTTTTTTACTTACTGTATCCTTTGTTGTAGCTGTTGTTGATATTCTTTACTAAAATTATTCCACTGGCCAACGTGGCGCGCAAATTGTCAGAACACTCCTCAAGCAGCCAAAACTAATAATAATAATAATAATAATAATATTAATATTAATAATAGTAAAAGGAGAGAAAAAAAAAAAACATAGACATACTCCTCTACCCCTGAGTTCAGCTCTCACGGCTATCAATCAAGGTAAGAAGAGGTTCAGCAAAGTCAAATGTACGGAGAACATTTTTAGTAGATGTCCAAAAATAAGGAATCTTTTGCATTGTAACCATACATTCCGGATCTGCTAGAGTAGACTCTAGAACGTTAATCATGTTTTTCACAGTTTCCTGAATAGCTTCACGAAGTGCTATTTCATCCTCTGTTGTACCACTCGTACGCATAACTTCTTTCCCCATCTCACGTGTATCCGAATCCTCTTCGTTGCTCGCCATATCATTTGGTGCGGTATAAAGTGCGTAGAGAGTACCAAGTATACGTTGAGATAATTCTTGTAATATCTCCGGTGTATCTACCAAAGATCTCACATAATGTAAGAGGACTTTAGGTAAAAGAGCTACCATTCGACATCTTAAATCGATCGCTACCTTTCGTTTACTCCTTTCAACACTTAGTTGACCTGTTGATGTACCTTCTGCTTCCCGTTTGGAAAGAGGCGCAGGAGCCAGTGTACTGAAAAAACCAGAAACAAAAGAGTGAACAGGTTTTGCATCTGTAGTACTATCAATATCCGTTACTTTTTCATTTTGTGGTGTTGCCAGGATATCTAATGATGGTGCACACATTTGTTCAGTGAGGGGAAAAATAACATCTTCATAGAGAAGAGCAACCGCCGATCCAGGAAGATGTCTAATTTCTGAGTCTAGCAAGCAACGTTGTAAACATAACAAAGCATCACTCCTATCACGATAATGACGTGAGAGTACAACTAAGGCAGAAAGACCACGTAAGGATGAAACCCATAAAAGTTCCCATTTTTTTCCATTATTAACTGCAGATTGTATAGTATTAATAGTGACAAGACGTCGGCAAACACAAGTAATACTATCTGCAAAACTTTCAGCAGGTTCATTACGACTAACTTCATCTGTTCCTACTACTCCGTCAGGATTTATCCCATCAGTAGAAGGTGATGCAAGAGAACATGATACCAAAGCATTTACAACAGCATCACTATCCTGTAAAGGATCATACTTTTCAAGTTTTACAAGAGCTGCAATAGCTTTTCGTACTTTCCATTGTATACGAGGAACAACACAAGTGGTAGATATCACATGAAGTGCCCTTAATAATCCTTCTAAATATTCATGTGATGGTGGAGTTGATAAATACTGTGGATTTACCAGAATTTCTAATAAAGCACTAGAAAGTTCAGGAGCTACAACTGCACTAAATACTTTGACAGGTGCATTTGTTAATATATTAAGAAGTTCAACCGCCACATTACGAGTTGAAGCATTGAATGAAAATTGCTTTATCGCTCTTACTATTGATACTACTATACGATTTCCCACGGATATCCAATATTCATATGCTTCAGAAGTAATAGGTTGATTAAATTCCGCAGCAGAAAGTAAATCATCCTCAGTTCCACTACCACCACCACCACGATTTCGATTATTCGTAATATTAGATCGTGCCTCATTTGGTTGATCAAGGATAATGAAAATAACAGATGTTAATTGTCGACACAATTTAATATAACGATCCATATTAATACTATCATTTGAACGACGTATCATCACCTCTGTAACAAGAAATATTGTATAAGAGATAGAATAACTTTCAGATGTCTTTTTTGATTTTAGTGATGTAGATTCACATAATGCAGAAAAGAATAATTGATGAGATTTTTCATCAAGACTATCAATCATATGCAGAAATTCTTCAATAGATGGAATAATAGCCCGAATACGTTCCATAGCTTGTTTTTCTTCTACTTCCTGTTCTCTTAATCGTTCTGGTGAAGTAGATGATGATGATCCCCATAATGCGGAGAGCCATCCACCTTCGGATGAAGTACGTTTTACCCCAGTAGCAATAATACCAGGATTGGTATATAATTCTTCCCAGACACCTAAAGCTTCAGAAGTTTTTTCAATTTCCCTTGCAAACACACCAAGAAGGAAAAGTTTAGTAAAAATATATCCCAAATCTTTCCATGCATCCATAATTTTGGGTTTACACTCTTTAAGTAGAGTAAAAAGTTTTTCCAGACATTGTAATGAGAATGGTTGATTACCAAGATGCATTAATGAAGTATGGGCCTCTTGCATATCAAGTGGTAACTCTTCAATTAATGTTAAAATAACATGATCCACCGCAGAAACCATTCCATAATGTGCAGCCGTTTTAGCAATAAGAGAAAGACCATCTAAAGCTTTATAGTAAGCGTATTCAGGAGGATAGAAAGTAGATTCCTTATTGGAGATACTACCATTGGTTCCTTTATCTTCCATCATATAGTTTTCAAGAGGAGCTCTACATCCCTGTAAAGTATTGGAAAATGCTGTTAGACATTCTTTCCAAAGAGCTTGAAAAACAAATGGATGTAATGCGTGAATAAAATTTAAATTAGATTCATTTGAAGAAATGGATTGCATAGAAAATGATTTAATGACATCAGAAGATATGGAACCTTCTAATGGTGAAGATTCTTGCATTTCAAGATCCCATGTAACATCATTTGTAAAACCTGTATCTATCATATCAGCCATAATAATAGGATGAGCTTTAACATCATCATATAAATCATTTAAAAATTCATCTGGTAAACTAGTTCCACCATCACTATCACGATGTATTCGTCGAAAATCTTCTTGTGTCATTGGTTTAACCATTTTTCCAGAATGTTGATCTGTATTTAACATAATCAATGAGAACGCTAAAATAAAAGGTGCATGTTCAGTAGAAAAAGGATTTATACTTTTATCGGAATCACGATTATCCGTATTCCATTTCTTTGCAAATGCTTCCATAACACGATCAATTTTTTGAGCTTCTCCTGGCATACACATACGATATGCAGTTTCACGAATACAAGATAATACAGATTTATTACGGTAATCAAATTCATCTAAAAAACCTTTAAGTTGTTCTTCAAAAAAACGTACAGTCCCTGCACGTAAATGATCATTCTGACGTTCTGCTTCCCATGCCGCATGGGCTTTTGTAGATTCTATACTACCATCAAGAATAGGAGCAGCCGGTTCACGTCCTAATTCACCCAAATAATCTCCTAAAGCTCGTTTATCAAGAATATCATTAAGCCGAAAAAGAGAAGCTCCTACTTGACGTCCACCTGCAGGTTCTTCAAGGATTAAAGCAGGTGCATTTAACATTCCTTTTTTAAATGTTCCAGCTGGAACTCGTACAGCATTCTGTAATAAAAATGGTATACCCTCTTTTATAGCATCATTTCGAAATAAAGAAGCAAATTTCATTAATAATTTTTTTTCTTCCAAACGGGATTCTATCAAAGATGATAATTTTTCCAATGGAGGTTCAGGTCTTGAAATTGTTAAAGCGGTTTGAGATAAAAGTCCATAAAGTGCTTCTAAAGCCAAAATATCTGTATGATTAAAAAAACCTTCACTCCATAAATCATTAACGGTTCCATCACGTCCTCCTTTCATCACAACAGAGGAAGTACTATCACTTATATGAAAACAATTTTCCACAAGAACACTGCAAAGACTACTAAACAATGGAAAAAAACGACGTGAAAGATCATATTGTCCATAGCAAAAAGCTGCAAAATCTATATCACAACAAAAATCTACGAGACTTTCAAGAATAAGTTCTCGTCTTTCACACAAATCTTGCATTTTAGAAACACTCATATGAAAGGTACCGGTAGTAGGAATTGAAGGTGAAACGGCTGTACGAGGTGAGGAGGATAGTCTCTTTGGTGATGTTGGGTCGGAGCGTAAATCTTCTGTCATTCGAATGATAGGACCAATATGTAAAACTCGTATAAAAGAATAAATTTGTGGAATCAAACGAGCTGAAGCAGATCTCATCACAACATGTATAGTTCGAAGAATTTGAGAAAGAACAATAACATTCTCTGTACTTACTCCTGCAACTAATAATACTCGAGAAAGGTTATGTTGAACACCGTAAAGAAGTTCTTCCCATCCTGGTTTACAAAGGTGATCTTTTACTATAAATAGCATTGTTTGTACTAAAAATAATCCTTCTAACTGTATTACTGGAGTTCTTGATGAAACTCGTGCCTCACTACGCAAGTTTTCTTTCGTGGTATCTTCATCATCATCTATACCAGTAATAAGTCGACAAATAAAACGTAGCATTGTAACACCATTTAAACCTGATCCTTGATGAGATCCACTTTTACAGTCATGTTTACCATGATTTTGTTTATCTTGTAAAATAAAATTGTAAAGAGATGAAATAATAGATTTCATAGCTTGTTCTGCAGTTCTCTGAAGTAATTGACTAGCTGATGGATGTACTGCTAATGCATAAGCGCGTCTTAATGTTTTTACAAAAAGACGCTCAGGCATTTCACGTGCACAAGGGTGACTTGTACAACTTACACATAGCTGTAATCTTCTAGAGAGCACAACTTCATAGGAGGAATTACCACTTACTCCACCTCTCCTACCACGAGTAGTAAAAAGCAATTTTTCCAATCCTTCCCTCGTTATAAAGGAACATTGAAGATCCACAATATTAGATAAAGATGCCAATACAACACCTACAATTGTATCACCCATATCTGCACTAACAGAAAGATCACAAAATGGTTGAAGTATTTCCTCCTCACTTAAATGGCGTACCAAACTTGGTGTCATCACTTTACGTTGTAAAGCTTTGAGACGACGTAGCAATGGATGTTCTTCCGCCATACGTCCCACATCTGTAAAGCGAGTTTTGGAAACAAATCTACCATCCGAGCGAATAGCAACAAGAAGATTTTCTATTTGGTTCGCTAATACAAGACGATCTTGGACCCAGCGCTCCTCAAGAGAGCGGCTGTTACTATTATTGCCATTTGAAGAATGTACAGTAGCCTCAGATGGGCGTGTAACGTACATTTCTGTTTTTTCCATTATTAATGATGATAATGATGATTTTCCTACTCTCACTCTTTTTTTTCTTTTTGTTCTTCGTTCGTTTCTTTGTTTATGAGGAAAAGGGTTATGAGGATTATGACGTCAAAGAAAAAAGAAGAAACAGGCGATTATATATAAGTGTATATATATATATATATATATATATATATATATATAT